AAAGTGGCTTAAGGAAACAAACAGGGCAGGAGAGAATGACTTACCTGAGGCGTCCACAGGGAGACAGCTTCAGGCAGGGCTGTACCTGGTGCTCAGTGACATCAGCAGAAGTCATCCTTCCCCACCTCTGGGCTCTGCCACTGGTGTCATCTTCACATCACCCTGCCTTTATGAGAGCAAGACAGCCACCAACTGCCACAGGCTGACATCACCACCACTCAACTCCCATCTGAAATAGAACTTCTCTTCCCCCAGGATTCCAGCACCAAGGCCTGACATCTGTGGAGCCTGATTGGGCTGGTGCCCAGCCGTGAGCCAATCACAGTGGCCAGGGAGGATGGAAAATGCTGATTGGCCAGATCAAGGCCATGTGACCATCCTCTCCAGGAAACCTGTGAGCTGTTCACCTGTTTCCAGGTTGGGAGAGTGTGATGTCTCCCAGAGGATCCTGCTACTAGCACAACCTGCAGGTGGCACAATGAGCTGGAATGAGCCTGTCTGCTTGGTGACAGGTGACAGGTCACTTAGTGGTTCCCTGCTCAAGGGAGGGAGGCATATCCACACAGTATTGGGGCTTCAGGGCCAGAATACAGCAGAAAAGTCTCCCAGTCTCCCAAAAGGTGGGAAACTAAGCAGTGACACTGGAAAGGCACTCCTCCCTGTGGCCCTTGGCTTTCTCCTTGTTACAGTGGCGAGTGCAGTGCTGCCCCTCACAGCCCACCTCCCTGCTGGGAGGCCTTTGTAACAGGTGGAGAGTGCTTGGAAAAGCCCACTTATTCTGAGGAACTGTTGTTGCTCCTGGTGGGATTATTATTTCATGTCATTTGTGAGGTGAGCCCCAAGGGGTCCCTGATCTGGGGGCACAGACACCTACAGAAACTGGACCCAGTATTGCTATTCATTAAAAAATGACTTACCTAGCACCTACTGTGTGCCAGATTCCCAGGGTAGAGCAGTGATGTTGACAACACAGTCCTCTGCCTCTCCTCCTCTCTGCATCCCAGGTGGGGTCACCAATCAGAGTGGGAGTTCAGCAAGCCCAGGACGTGGACAGAGCCTTGTGGGAATCCCTGGGGTTTTCCTCTGTGCTGAAGGCACTAGCAGAACACCAATTGTGGGACTCAGTACCCGCAGGACCCAGCATTGGTGGGTAAAGGAGAGGGGCATTTCTACAAGCCCATCCTCACTAACCCCAGGCTCCGGAGGGCAGCTCCACTCTACTCAACCCCAGGGGGCATCTTCCACCATCCTAATCACCCTCTGGT